GTTATTGACCAAAATGTCGCAGGCCAAGAAGACCAAGGCTCAGTGCGAGCGCAATCCTAACGATGCTATTGAAATTGAGTTCGACCAGTTCGCCGAGTTTGATGTGTGCGCAGCCAGCCACACACCCATCTACAGTGGTACTGCATATGAGGAGTGTGCCTTTGATGGCTCCAAATATCACACCAAGTACAAGGGCACTGTCTGCAGAGTGTGTGAAGTATGTGAGATTGGCAAGCATGGAAGCGGTTTGAAGCTGTTCGCCTAAACTGAGTAGAACATTGTCGAATAAGATTTAATGGCAGGAGCGCATAGTTGGAATTGGGAGTTTCGAGTCAACGATGCACAAAAAAGAGCCAGATAGACGAGGTGGAAAGTCTAGGGCTTTAAAAAGGTTGGACTTGGACGACTGGTTGATAGAACGATGGCAAAGGAGTCATGTCTTTGTAGTTGCAACTTAGCCTGATTATACGCGAGAAGCACAAGATCAAGGAATCACGTTTAAAAGACTAGATGTTTGATGCTTTTTTTTTTTTTTTTTGAGACTCGCCTGACTGACAAGCTCATCAATTGAATTAATTGTACAGCAACCGTTTGTCCCCTCTACTAGTCTATGTTTGTCTTCACGTTGTTTTCTCGTCAAGAATTCTGCCCCGTTACTCCATTACACGATCGTTTCAAGCTCACGGGCGTAGCCCAGGGCGTTTTCTATCACCATCTGGCTCATCTCCTTGTTCTGGTCGCCGTCCTCGCCTTCAGCAGTATCAGGGAAGTAGATGTTACCGTCACGGACGATCCAGCCACGGTGGTGGGCGAAAGAGATAACATCGCCCTCTGAGTCCAAGAAGAGAAGGGACTTTGTGGAGCTGATAGGAAGGCTGGGGTATGCGCGCTCGCTGCTGGAAGCAATCTCGGAGCGGATCTGGTTCTTGAGGATCTACAATCGGGTCAATATTGGCTGCTTGGGCGGAAATTGGACAAATAGGCAAACTTACTTCTGAGAAAACGCTATACTCATCGCAGGGCACCTCGCTGCTCTTCATGGCCTTCCATACCCGGTCATAGGATCCTTCCATCAACCATCTCTCTAGACGAATAGGATAGCCAAGGTATCGGTCGCTCTCAACGTCACCGCCACCACCCTCACGGTTCTCTAAGCTCTCAAGCTCAGTGTGAAACTCAGCATATCGACCCTGTGTCAAGAGCAGAAGCAAGCTCAGACCAGTGACCTTGTTGCGCTCGGGCAGGTTGGGAGGAAGAACAGCAGCGGGAAGCTCGTAGAAGGGCTGAAGCTGCTGGACGTAGCGGGTGAAAGCTTCGGGGTTGCGGGCGCGGATGGCGAATAGGGCACCCTGTTCGTAGGTCTCGCGGGCGAGAGGCAGGAGATGCGTCGGGGTTGAGGGAGCGGGTGTAAGAGCGTTGAGCTTGAGCAGAGCGAGTTTGGCCTTTGAGAGGAGGGCGTTGGCTTCGGGATAGCTCATAGAAGGGGAGTGCTTGAGCTGGGAGATGATCTGGGCGAGATTGCGTTCGGCCATGGTGGGCAACGGAGTTGTCAACAATTTAATATGCGGTAGCTGACGTTTCGCAGGTTGAATTTATATGGTGACCTTGTGGGGAGCAGCGATCAATGTCGTGGTGTCGTTTGTGGTTGGTAGTCTTGATGATGATACTGAATCCAATTCAAGCTTCACCAGGCTGCATCCAGTGACGCGAGGCCACGGCTCATGCCTGTGGTCGCTGCGAGGTCGCTTTGTTGCAGGGATGCTCGGGTGAAGGATATTCCGCTCCGCCGGCATCACCGTCAAAGGATCATGTATCGCAACCATAAGCGGGAAGCTAGAGAGTTCAAAAAGTTTGGACAAGCTGATTTTTGTTATATACATGGGATCTTTGGACTCTATTGCTGGTTTGAAGTCAATGTTTGTTCATGGTTTGCACTTCTCGACGTTGCTGACATTGACATTGACGTGATTGACGAGAGTTCAACGCCTATGGTAGGGAGCATGGCTATTTCAGCTTTGCCGATGACACAGTATTCTCAGATGTGCCTTAACATGCGGACTTGTAGTCGTGGTTCGCCTGTAATGGTGTAGTAACGATCGATAACACATGTTACATTGATTCACGACATGTTGTTACTTGCATCATCACCAGAGCCTCACGTGGCTCTTGGCGGCGTATCGCAGTCTCTGTAAGGCATCCATTTGTCCTTGTGTTGGTGGAGATTTTACATATACTCCGACGTATGACTACAACACTAATAAAATACTGATCGTCAAAAAGCTATCAAGTCAAAACGAAAAACCCACTTTATGCCTTTTTTATAGTCCCAGGATTGAGTATTCCAGATAAACGGACGGATCTCAAAATAGCAACTGGGGCTGTGGCTGAGCAAACGTATCATATAAACATCCATATTCAGCCGTTGGATGTAATGAAAGTCCGGTGCTGTTATTTGAAATATCTCGTTAATTTGGCGTATTTGGAAACATTCGAGTGATTTCGTGGTCGGAAATGAAGGACCCGATCAAACGCCGCTTAGAAGAAGTTGAACTGTTGAAGGGGGGAACTGAGCTAAGGTACGGTATGATAATCAGCCGCTCGAAGCTATTGAATTGCCCCTCACCAAGTCTGCCTGTGGCTGTCCTCCACCACAAATTCGAGAAGAAGGCGAAGGTGCCAAGGTTGAAACCACTATACCTAGACTAATCAGCTTCAACTGCAAGGTCCCGCGTTTGTGACGAGCGCCGTATCTGCCTTGTGGCGATTGTGCACTTGTTTGATACACTCAAGATGTGGTGTTCAGCCATAGAGGTAGGTAGGTACCGTCTAAACCTGCACTGTACTCTTATGTATCTCGTCGGAATTGATAGGGCAGGGAGTTGCCGGTCTGTGGCATCCGCCTTGGTTTGCAGTGTAAGCTCCCTCACATTGCAGAGCAAGAGGAGGTGCAGTAGAGTAGAACGCCCAGATTGTTGCAAGAGGCATCTGACGTCGAAGACCTTGGATGTGTACAGTATTATTCCCTTTTTGCTATTTCTTCCATCAACCCTCTTTCATATATCTCACCATCCATCCTATTCCTTTCCTCTGTGCCAGTTTCATTTCTACTCTGGTATAACCAAATCGCGAACCTGAAGCTTCCCCTCCATATGCCAGCCCTCACGTTGATCTGATCGATCGATAGCGGTTGTTTAATCTCCTGACTTGACAACTCGAAACGAGAAGCTCCGTCCAAGGAACAGGAACTGGAGCAAGATCCCTGCTGCGATCCATGATCACATTGCATCGCATCCATTACTTTACGGCACTTGAATCTTTTGGCCTAGAACAGTACAGTCCAGCTACCACCAACACGACGTACCAGCCCCCAGCTCGCCTTTCCCCACGCACTTTTCGTTGTCTTGCATGTCTATTTGGCTGTGCCCCGCTCTTCAAACAGCTCCCACGCCCGTGCCCGCCATCCTCTCAAGTCCCAGCTCCCAACCCGCCTACAGCCCAAGCCACGGTTCCTCATGCTGGCTAGTGATAGTGGTGTCACAGATCCAGCTCCAGTTTCTTACAGGCTGTGACTAGAAACACCAGACGGGCGAATACATAACGAAGGCATCAGGCCCTCGACTGGCCGCGGTCTAGTCGATTCCGACATTTGCTATATCTTATTCTTGTTCTTCGACTTCATATCTCACTCAGCCGCAACGTGTTTCGTCACTCGTGCTTCCCACCGCAATGGCCAGCTATCAGCGATATGCACAGCTTGGCAAGAAAGCTAACACCTCAGCCGCTACTGGCAATTCATCATGTAAGCAATCATCATGCTCTTGTCATCCTCTTTTTTTCTTCTCTATGGTACTCCCCTCGTAAGAGCTGATATGCAGGGAGCGGCGCCGAAGCGTTATGGCGATACCCTGTTTGCCTAGTTGATGTGCTTGCTTGCTTGCTTGATGACTGATGATGGCCAACTTGAATACTCGACCTTGGACCCTTGTTTACACCCCCGAGAACTCAAAAAGTGCAAGATAGTTCACAATACCTGAAATGCGACTTGGACAGCGGCTGAAATACCACTTTGAGATACCCACCCGCTGTACGACATGTCACCTACGCAAGCCAACGTTCCGTTCCTGAAAGCTCCAGCGCTGATCACTCGAGACTAGAGTGCTATTTACGGCTGCCGCCCAGTGCACTGCCTGGCACTCATGGTTGCCAAGCCACTATGGGTCTCAGACAAGCAGCGTGTCAGGGTGCAATTATGCCCGAACATTGGATAACGAGAGTCTATTTCCCACCGAAAACCATGTCCTACCTGTCAATGGATATTGCAAACACCAACTCAATATTCAAGCACCGCCCTTTGAATCACCGAAGATCAAACTTAGAATCTCTGCTTGCCATCTCAAATTACACGGCAGTTGTATCCTCGCTCATACATAGGAACCGAAATCTATCTCCAGCCTCAATTGGCGCTCACAAGCGTGCCCCACGAATAAGTTGGCGCTGGATATTCCCTGTAACAGGACCCTTGCGCTTGATCACCAGCCCCTGAAGAGGATTGGGCCGGGCCTCTTTACAGCATCCCCGCTGCATTATCGCTACTTTTGGATCCCCTTGTTGGGCTTCGCTTCAGGGTATCGCATTCTACTTGATTCTCGAACCTGGAATATTTGAACCAACTCCCGACCGCAAATTAGCTCTGGAAACCTTGAATTGGAACTGGAATTGCTACCGCCAATCAGTCGATCAAGCAAGCAAGCACTCAACCCAGCGAACTGACCAGGCCAGTGCCTAACGCACGCGCAGTATAAACAGCCTGCTGTTTGCTGGTTCGAGGCAAAGAGGGGTTACGCCGCTGCTTCTGCAGTCATCGGTGACCGCGCCCCGTCAGCTCTTACATTCGTTCGTTGTGAACGAGAACAAGGGCCCCCTTCTTTATTCGTCTTATCCCCCCGACCCTCTTGCTGACATCTTACGTCCTTTTCGCGATAGACGGCCAGCGAACCGAGATGGCTCCCCCACAGTTAGGCGCGACATTTGTCCCCGGCGGCTTCGATGATTATTATATGCCAGAAGTCGTTGCTCCCTCCCCTCAAAGGTATGTCTCTTGGCTCTTCCCCCTTAATCCCATTTCCGGCACGGTCTCCAGTTTCTATTTCCCAAATCCCCATGCTCCTTTCCCTTGCCTGATCCCATATAAATAAAGCTTGCCAGCACCGGATGCGGTTGTAACGGTGAAAAGGTGGGGCATGCTGACGATTCTTTGTTGTTGCTGTATCTAGGGTAACCCCTCAGGTCCCTCAAAATATGCAAGAGGACCTCCAGCGCATGGAGCTCGAGGCTACTTCTGTTGAACCACGATCACAAACCGATTCAGGCCCAGGCCCTCGTCACTCTCGTGAACCGTCGCTCTCTACTTACACCAACCCTCGGGGAGCCGACCCGCCTAGGCCCCAGCCTGCAACACAGGTCTTAAGCGACGACATCCGAGCATACCAGTCCACCGATAAGATCTCCGAGAGTCTCAGCACCATGAGCTTCGACGCCCCCTCATTTTCGCCTTTTCCCAAGGTAAAGGGCGATAACATCCCCCCAACCGACGAGGAAAAGGAAGAGATTCTCTGGAACGCGCGCAAGCATGTTCTTCACTCACAGAATGTTTCAATGCAAATTACCTGGGCGCGCGACGTCCTTACTTGGGCCGACATTTCCCAAGAGTCCATGATACGCGAATATGGCGAAAAGGCCCGACCTGCTACGCCCCGCATAGAACACGAACTCCGAGTCGATGCAATCAACATTATTACCTACTTGTCGCAGCAAGAACACCCTGAAGCACTGTACATGCGCTCAAAATGGCTCGAATTTGGCAAGTTTGGTAACCGTGTCGACAAGCGTGAGGCTTATATCGGCTACAAGCGCGCCGCAGAACTCGGCCATGGACGATCCGAGTATCGCATGGGCATGTTGTACGAGCAGTCCAATGATATGTCTAAGGCGAAGGAGCATTATTACCGTGGTCTTTCCCTCAAGGATTCGGCTTCATTGTATCGAATGGGCATGATGAGTCTTCTAGGCCAGCATGGCGAGACGAAAGATTACTCGACTGGCCTGGAGCGGATACAGGCGGCGGCCGACAGCTCCGACGAAGACGCTCCTCAGGGTGCTTATGTTTACGGTATGCTCATAGGACGCGACCTACCAGACATAACAATCCCCGAGGGCTTGTTACCCAACAATCCGTTGACAACAAAGATGTATATCGAGAAGTCAGCTTATCTTGGGTTTGCTAAGGCCCAACTCAAGATGGGACAAGCATACGAACTCTGCCAGTTCGGATGTGACTTCAACCCGTCTTTTTCTCTTCACTACTACGGCCTAGCAGCTAAGCAAGGTCTTCCCGAGGCAGCCCTCGGTGTGAGTCGATGGTTCCTCTTTGGCTATGAGGGCGTTTTCAAGAAGAACGAGTCGCTCGCGTACAAGTATGCTCAAGAGGCTGCTGCCGCTAAGCTACCGACAGGAGAATTCGCCTTGGGCTACTACAACGAGATAGGAATCCATGTTGAAAAGAGCTTATCAGAAGCTCGAAAGTGGTATCAGCTCGCCGCCGATCACGGCAATCAAGACGCCCTTGGCCGACTTGATTCACTGGACGAGAATAACACTCTGTCCAAATCTGACCACGAAACTACTACACTGACCCGCATCAAGTCGCAACACGGATCTCAGCGAGGCAAGCGCCCCGATCGCTTCAAGCAGCCACAACAAATGCCTACTCTCAGTGAAGGAAGCGCCCCTGCTTCACCTTCACTGGACGGACCGGGCTACCCTAAGCCACAAGATCCGCAGTCCAATCCTTCTCTCGGGATACGGCCCACCATCGTCTCGGAGCACGTCAACTTCCCAGACCCATCGCGAGCTTCTTTTGTACTCCCGGCGGCGGCGGACAGACCTCCTGCCTTCAACGTTCGATTGGATGCCAACCAAGGCCCAGTGCGACCCCAATCAGCAGCTCCCTACCCCGAAGATGACCGGCCACCACCCTTGACAGTTCGTTCCAAGTCGACCGCGCCTTACCCGGAGGACGATACCCAAGGTCCTACTTCTCCTCGTTTCAATCAAGGCGGACGCATGGGACCCCCTCCAGGGCCCCCTTCAGATCGCCCATCAAGTGCTTTTGGCATCAAGCCCCAATCAGGTGGTCCTCGACCTATGCCACAATCTCAATCGATGGGCAATCTTCACCCTGGAGGTCCAGGAGGTCCTGGCCGACCTGATCCCCGCAACAGAGCTGCATCCACTGGATGGGAGGGCCAACAAGGCCCCGGGGGACCCGGAGGACGTCCTTCTCCTTATCCAGAAGACAACGGGGCACCGTACGGTGGAATACAAAAGACACCCACTGGTGGCCAATACTCACCAGGCTTACAAAACCCCCAGTCTCAAAACTATGAACGCTTCTCGCGTGTACCTGGAGCTAGTGGGCGCCCCGAGCGTGGGAGCTCTCTTCCCCAGAATCAGCAGCAGCAGCAGCAGCAGCAATTACCACCTCAGGCGAACCGACCCCCACGTACATCAAGTGCTCAACCGCCAATGGTGTCTGGTGGTGCTGGCCCAGGCGGCAGGCCGTCTCCAGGACCTTATGGCGGACCTCAAGGGGGGCCTCAAGGGGGCCCAACTGGTCCTCCAAGGACTGGGAGCGCACCTCCGTCACAATTTCAGCGGCCCGATAACAGACCGAGCCCTGCTCCCAGCGCTGCAACGATGCCACCAAAGGGAGCAGGTAAACAGGGACCTGCAACGTTTGAAGATATGGGTATTCCACAAGGAAAGCAGGACAGTGACTGCGTAAGTTTGCTGATAGATTCGCGTTTATTGACGGAGCACTAACACAATTGACAGATCCTCATGTAAAGTTGGAAAGTGGATAAGAAGGACTAAATCAAGTGTGACATGCACAAATCAGTTGTTACAGGGACTACGTTCGAACACATAAAGCCGGATGAAGGGGCATCTTTTTGGAGTCGAGCTCGCGGACGGAATGCATTTGCGCTGGGCTCGGAAGTAAATATCCGTGATATAGGACAGGCAGGCTTGGCAGGGTTGGTTGCGTAAAAACGCTGAATATTTGGGTATCGAGTATTGTAAGTATGATCTCTCAATGTATTGAGTTGAAGATGTGAACCGAGGATAGCGTGTGTAGATGACGACGTTCTGATGAGCATTGTTCTTTCATATCTTACAGTCTGGAGTCGTTGAGTGTCTGTGTGACAATAGCTTTGTCCATGTTCGATCTTAAAGATGCTGTTCGAGTATGATGGTTCCATGCCCAAGCGGTGGACTTATTGATGGCTCTATGAACAATCCCTGGAAGGACTTAAGAGGAACAATGGTGAACACCGTGTAGCAATATGTATATAACTTTCCGGATTGTCTAGTCATTGCTCTCATCACCATCTTCCCTCATTGTTCCGCCAACGCCCTAAGCTGATTGCACACAGGCTATTTCAACAAATCTTTATCATCCATCATTCGATCGACGACCCCGAGACACAAGTCTCTTCCACCGCCAATATGGCATATATCGATCAGGGATTTCAGCTGCAGTCCCTGAATCCTGCTGGACAGGCACACAATCCCTTCTCTGCAGACCCAGAGGTACAATCTGACCATGCGAACCAATCGGTATCTGAATTTGGGCAGAGTATATTTGAGGAGGTGATTAGCCGCGCCTCTTCGGATAGCTCCCAGGCTCCAGTACCGCCCCCTGACGGTGGATGGAGAGCGTGGTGTGTTGTTTTATCCACACACTTAGTCTATATGAATACTTGGGGCTGGGTAAACTCCTTTGGTATTTTCCAGGCGTACTACGCCGAAAATCTAGGTCTTTCAGCAAGCAAGATTTCGTGGATCGGTTCCTTCAGCGTTTTTCTCCTCTTCTTCGTCGGCACCTTGACAGGCCGTCTTGTTGACGCTGGATATTTCCGCTGGGTGTTTGCCTGTGGTATTATCTTCCAGGTCACGGGTATCATGGTCACTTCGTTTTGTACTGACTACTGGCATTACTTTGGTGTCCAAGGCGTTCTCGTTGGTCTCGGACATAGCTGTCTGTTTTGCCCCGTATTGGCAGTACTGTCAACGTTCTTTGCTAGAAAACGTGCTTTGGCCATGGGAGTCGCAGCATGTGGAAGTGCAACAGGAGGTGTCTTGTTTCCCCTCCTGGTTCGAGGTCTTCTTCAAAAGGTAGGTTTTGGCTGGACTCTGAGAATCGTGGGTTTCGTGCAGCTTTTCCTTCTACTGATCGCACTGGTTCTTGTTAAGCCTCGGCTTCGACCACGTCGATCTGATTCCCTGATCGATTTCTCTGCCTTCAAAGATATTGAGTACGTTTTGTACGTCACTGCCTCATTCTTTACTTGCCTGGGGGTTTATCTTGCTTACTATTTCATGGCAGCTTTCTCTCGCACCGCTATCGACCCGCCCTTTACCTTCGATCAGTCTCTCGATCTTCTCATGATTCTGAACGGTGTTGGCGTTATAGGTAGAGTGCTCGCCAATTGGACAGCTGATTACATCGGCGCCGTCAATGTCTTCGCACCACACTCCTTCTTTGCTGCAGTACTACTCTATTGCTGGATGGCAGTGACCAACAAGCCAAGCCTGTACGTATGGTCCGTCTTCTATGGTACTCTCGCCGCCGCGATAGAGAGCCTCTTCCCCACCGGCATCTCTCTGCTGACTGAGGATTTGAACAAGATTGGTGTTAGGATGGGAATGGCCTTCACGATTGCTAGCTTTGCTTCCCTCGCGGGACCACCTGCTGCAGGTGCGATTATTGATGCGGAACATGGCTTCAAAGGCGCGCAGGCGTTTGCTGGTACAGCTATGTTGTTGGGTGCGGTGTTTCTGGTTGCAGCCAAGAAGAAGAGGATGGCTAGACTCGGAACTGGATGGTTTGATAAATGCTAAGTTGGTCTTGGAAATTTGGAACGGTAAGTCTAAAAGATAGAAAGGGGTAAGTTGGCGTTTTGTATTTGTCCTTTTTGGTAAGGGTTAACAGATTGTCTAAATTGTCGCAATATAAACTGATTCGGAGCGCATCTATCGTGAACATTGTAGTGACGTCCCTTGCGTAATTGATCACTCAAGTCGAGTAATGTCTCCTATTCTCTTGCTCTGACTAACCAGGTATTATCGAGTCCTCGGCAATGCTTTACCTTTGTCTTCAACAAACTACAGTGAACTCTTGTCTAGTCATCAACTTTAATGGCAACCTTTCCGACCTGCTTGCCTTGCCAAACATACTCGATCGCCTCCTCTGCCTTATCGAAAGACCAAGTTGAGTCAAGAATATCCTCGAACGTCATCTGTGTAGCAGAGATGGCAGCCATAAGCTCATCCTGATCATCCTTAGACCCCGCGTTGATACCGCGAACGTTCAGTCGTCGATCGATGATAGTGGAAACAAACTCCTTTAAATGTTCAGGTTTAGGGCCGCCCAAATAACCAACTTGGCTTACAATTCCTCCACGCCGAGTGCACTCCATTGATCGAACGAGAGAACTGCTGCCACCGTTTTCAACGACGAGATCAACTCCGATACCATTTGTTAGACGGAGAACTTCCTTGTGCCATTCTGGGTGGGTCCTGTAGTTAACCGTTTGGATCTCTGGTTTTCCGAATTGCTTCTTGATCTGTTCCAACTTCTCATCGCTTGAGGAAGTAAGGATGACCCGAAGACCAGAGGCGCGGGCCAGCTTGAGAGCGAAGGTGGAAACGCCACCAGTGCCTGATATTTGTTAATAATGACCTATTGGACATTCTACGAGGGGAGTTACCTTGGATCAGAACTGTTTGTCCGATAGTAGCGCCCTTGAGAGCAGACCAAGCGGTAGTTCCGGCACAAGGAATTATCGAGGCTTGAATCCAGTCAAGATGCTCAGGTAGTTTTGTAACCAACTTCTCATCAAAAACAATATAAGTGGCCAAGATGCCATCCTCATTAGCCGCGAGCCAAGACCTTCCCGTTGAGCGAGCATTCACAAATCCAGAGTCCGTGGTAGGAGCAACACGATCGCCAACTTTGACGAGCGATACTCTATTCCCAACTGAAACGATCTCACCGGCGGCATCGTTGCCAGGAACGCCGTTGGGAGTAACAGGCCAGGGGTTACCGCCATTGGCGATGTTGGCATCGCGATAGTTGAGAGAAACTGCGTGGACTTTGATAAGGACGGCTGTTGGATGAAGAGGGAGAGGGAGGTCTTCTGTGACGAGTTTCACTTTGGGGGTGCCCTTTGTGTAATCGTCTGTTCGACGCCAGGCTTGGCGTTGAGTTGGTTGAGACATTTCTGGCTTATTAAGGGGATATTTTTAAACAAGATGATGTATCAGGCATGGATATCTATTGTTGTAATGCCCTGATCTCGGAGCGGGAGACTATTGTTCTTATACTGCGGTTGTCGTGATGAGGCGTCTTGTTGCTGGCATATCCACGCGGGGTAATCTCATTTATAATCGATTAGTATGGTATCATGAGTAGATCATTAAATTACGATCTCACTGTAGTTGAATCATGTTGCTCAATTCTTTTCTTGTTTTGGCTACGATGGTTTCGAGGAGTGTTTGGTCTTGGCTGATGTCGGATTCCTCAGCCGTAGGGTATCCACCACAAGGGACGTTGCAACCATCACGACGTCGATGGAGTGTTCAAAAAAGTTTTCTTTTCTGGGAATGAGTAAGTTATTGACTAAAATTTAAGCTAAGACTGATATTGTTAGAAGAATTTGCATGACATGAGACCCTATTGATGGTCTGAATCTATGCCACGTACTTGTGACTCGGCTCCCATTCCGAAACACATTCGAACAATGCGCCTCACCGGGAACAATGAATGTGAACAAACTCATGTCAAATCTCTTCTTAGAAAGTTTAGACTTGGAACAAGCAAATCAAAGTAATAAACCTTTCTCTGACTGTCCATAAATTCCTGCTTTTACTCTTGAACAGTATCTCAACCTCTGAAGCGGCAGACTTACACGATGACCACAGCCCGCATTATCTCGGGATAGGAACCCGCGGATACCACACTTCAACAACCAAAGAATAGACCAGAAAATCTCCTGTTTCCCCTTCTGGTATTCAGACGATATCTCCTTTGGAACTCCGTAAACTCATAGACCGAAAAAGGAAACTTTAAAGAATACCGCTATCGAACTGAGAGGAAGCCGTTGATAGATCGGCATTCTCTGGATTCGTGGCGTCGAAGCTTCATGCTTGGGGTATGAGGAAATGTGAAGTAGGTTCGTTCTGTCAGGGTTTCAGCGGTAAGATCAGTTTGTATAAGAAGTGTGACACCATGTCCTAGCTAGTTCATTCAATTGCTCTTCACATGCCCTCTCATAACAATTATACAATATTCTCTCCATTCATTGCCGCGCAATATGTCTGATCTCAAGATAGAAAAGATAGACGTCTTCAAAGTCGACCTCCCTTACTCGGGAGGTGTTTACTATCTCTCAGGTGGCCGCGAGTATAGGAGTTTTGATGCAACCATTATCCGAATAACCACAAATACTGGTATCGAAGGCTGGGGCGAGAGCACCCCTTTCGGTTCAACTTACATCGCCTCTCATGCTCTCGGCGTGAGAGCAGGCATTGCTGAGATCGCTCCCTGGCTGATCGGCTTGGATCCACGGCGAGTTGACCGCATCAATGAAGCCATGGACGCTGCTCTGGTCGGTCACGAGCACGCCAAAACCCCTATCGACATTGCCTGCTGGGACATCTTCGGCAAGTCAGTCGGAATGCCCGTTTGCGAACTGCTCGGTGGTCGCACTGGTGTTGGTCTGCCTATCATCTCGTCAATCTACATGGATAAACCCGAGAATATGCGAAAGCGTGTTGCAGAGCATCGAGCACGAGGATACATCGGACACTCCGTCAAGATCGGCGGAGATCCCGGTGAAGATGCTCAGCGAATAACTGCCTCACTCGCTGATAAGCAGCCCGGAGAGTTCTTCCTGGTGGATGCCAACGGTGGTATGACTGTTGAAAACGCTCTTCGCATGTTGAGGCTTCTCCCGCCTGGCCTGGACTTTGTTCTCGAAGCCCCCTGTGCCACATGGCGCGAAATCGTCTCTCTCCGTCGAAGAAGTAACATTCCCATTCACTTGGACGAGCTCGCCACCACAGACGCATCAATAATCCAGATGATAGCAGACGACGCGGCTGAAGGGTTTGGAATCAAGATTTCGAAGAACGGCGGTTTGACCAAGAGTCGACGACATAGAGATATTGCTCTTGCAGCGGGCTATACGATGAGTTGTCAGGAGACCACCGGATCGGACATTGCTTTTGCGGCGATTGTCCATCTTGGCCAAACTATCCCGGAGAGAAGCCTGAGGTGTATATTGGAGTGTAGAGATATGGTAACCGTGAAGACGGCGGATGGGAACTTTGAGGTTAGGAATGGGAGGGTTCATGCACCAAAGGAGCCGGGACTAGGCGTTACGCCCCGTTTGGATGTTTTGGGCGATCCTGTTGCTAGTTACTCTTGATTTAAAATGAGAAATGATAGCACATTTCGATTATTCAGTTAGGGAGACGATGCTCTTGAGGGTGTTTGATGGTATGACTCTCCAGAGAGATGAAAGGAGACGAATGGGGCTTCTCATGATACTAATCTAAGGTAGCCAAAAGTGATTGGCAGATTAGAATATGCACTTTTCTAGTATCCTTGATACCTCGCATGTACCTATACATGAACTCCTAAGGTCTCCCGATGAAATTCTGCAGTATCAATTACGGCCTGATCAACCTGACGCGCCTGCTGTGGTTGGCCGTCTGCATGAGGCCGTCTATTGAGGGTTGCCCAGCTCATAAACGGCCACCAGCAGTTGGCCCCCTGCCTGCAATTACCTGCAAGGCAGCCGGCCACAGAGCGAACCATTTTCAAGTCAAAGATAGATACCTAAAAAAGGAGCTTCACTTTCGATATCGTTCATCTTTTGTTTGCTGGTTCATTCATCCTGTCTGTGGGTCCACTTTGGCTTCAACGACAGAAACGCTTTTGATATTTATTGACCTGGTTCACTAAGCATTAGGGAAGCTGTCTCAGCTACCTAAATATTTAGGTAATTACCTATAATTTACTCTATTTTGTGGTGTTATCTGAGCAAGTGGACTAAGAATGGGAGGCTGTCTCGCCACTACATGCACTGACAGTTGTTGCCAGTGCCAGTATCATCAAACGAGTGGCAGCCTCACAAGGTGAATGAATCATCCACCCACCCTTGGCATTGTTGACTTTTCCTCTCTAATACAATCCATCCGCTCAGTTTAGTTCAGTTCAGTTCATTTCTCTTTTTCCTTTCACCTTCACCTTCACCTTCATCTTCCTTGCCTTTGCATCGCGAGTATAACCTGCCACATATACGACCTCTACACAACTAAAAAAAAAAAAAGAAAAGAAAAAGAAACATTGACATTGAACAAGGTAAGGCATATAGGTAACCAAGAGGTCTACTGTATCGGTAGAAGCGTGGTGCCTTAGGTGCTGCGATGCCTCCTCCAGTGGCTTCTATGGCCCCTCGGAAGGGCAAGAGCGACAACGAAAAACCCCTGTCGCTCAACGATGCCCTTTACAACCATCTCGTCCTCCCTCCTCAACTTCCCCAACGTCAAGACTCCAACCTTGACGAGCTCGAGAAAGCTCTGATCGATAGACTGTTGGCTTCCGTGAAGCACCTCCGAGATCTCCCCGAAAACGATCTGAGTTACGCTTGGAGCTTGATCGAGCGAGGTCTTCATGCCACCAAGAGCATTCATGCCGGAGGTCACGTCGACCGAACTGCGCTTATTCGAGAACTCAACGATCTTGGAGACTCGGACTTTCTAGTCGTCTATGTACGGAGCCAGAACTGTGCTCTTTACATCCGCCGTTCGCAAGAGTAAGTCCTGTCTTCATACCTCGCCTATCAAACATCACAGTCTAACTTGACCCAGTCGTGTCTTTGGCGCTTCTGTCATATTCGAGGCCTTTGAAACTTCAGCGCATAACGAAGATGTTCTGGCAACCGAAAATGCACTTCAGTGGGACTTTCCTGGATGTGCAGTCGCCGTCCCTCTCGCTACATTCCGCGAAAATGGTTTCGTGGCCAATCTAGCCAACTTCCTGGACAACGCTTCACGAGAGTTACTCACCGATTTCTCCGCACAAGCGCTCAGGGCGGGAACGTCTATGCCCGAGTTTCGCAACACCTCCGAACCTGCTCTCATTTCCTCTATGCTCATGGCTATTCTGCAACAAAACGGCCGCCGCCTCGCCCCAACTCTTCTGCAGAAGATGGTTCGGGACGATGTGCTGTGGAACAACGCAGAAAAGCCATGGACGCGACTGCCTTATTGGCTTGTACTGCGAGTTGCCATCTCTCGATACCTTACTCAACGTTTGGGTGAAATTGGGCGAGTTGAATACAAGTTTTTGTTGGCTCACCTCTTCAGCGAATTCCTCGCCCATATCCAGCAATCAGGAATACGCCTCGACCGCTTCGATTTCCTCAAGAAAAAGATCTGCCGACGGCTAGTCAAGCTGGAAGTTGATAAAGACCGGTCTCAAGATCTGACCCAGAGGATCGAGTATCTATTCACCCAACTTAGCCCCGGATTTCAGAATTCGATTTCCAAGGCAAATGCCTTCCTCGAAGCCTCATGGAAGCATCAGAAGCTGACGATGACTAAAACGATCCCTCCACTACCCAGGCAAGCTTCTTTCGAAGATATGAAGCTGGACCTAAAGATTAGCGGAATTACCCTCAACAGGATCTGGAGGGGCTATTCGAAGCCTGTCAAGTTCAACACTGGGCGACAAGGCACCGCAAATGTCGCACAGGCTGCGAAGCAGCATCTCAGTTCATTTGCTTTCGAACACTTCAAGTTGATTGAAAAAGAGATAGCCGTTGCCAGTTTTTGCGATGAGCGCTTGCTTCCGCGCTCAAAAATTGAAAAGGCAGCTTCTTTGATTAACGAGTATTTGCGACAGGCTTCTAGGGCCTATGATAGTATCCCCGAACTCAAGAGCACACTGATCTTGAACACCATGGATCTATGGGTTACCATGGATAAGGCAGCCTGTGCGGTGTATCCACTTCTCAGTGAATTTCACCCTGTATTTCGACCTGAGATGCTTGATGTCGTGCTCCTTTCTACCTTCAATGATATGAAGCGGCTGCAGAAGATCCAGGTCTATCTGCAGGATCGTATTGCTGCTTGTCAAGGTTCAACAACCAGTATTTTTGACGATCCTGTCCGTGGATCATTTGGTCATCGATTCTATGATGACTCTGACATGTCTGATGAGATGAACGATCTACAAAAGTCAATAGAGGCCTGGGCGACCCAATTGCGGGACACAAAAGAAAAGGAATGGAAGTCAAAAAGCCAAGAGTACTCAAGACTGTCCAAGGTTATCGATGAGAGCACATGCGTGTACATGGTAGACGAGGACAATCCCCACTTGCCCCCTTATCATGACCGCGATTGTCGTCGCTGCTACTTGAAGCGGCAGTTGAAGAGAATTAGTATCCAGGCCTACGAACACCCCCTTCCTTCTGACCCTCATGTCGCGAAAGCTGTCGTTTTTGAGCTGCTTTGCCCGCAGACTTTGGCAAAATATCGAGATGCCACATGGATCGTTATATCGATAGCCCTACCAACAGAGGAAGGCGTCGACCCGAAGTGCTGGGCACGAGACTATCAACAGCTACAGAAGTATGCCAACGACTCATCAATGAGCTGCTCTCTGGCATCAGTCACTAAACCTTGTAAGTATTCAAACTACCATTACCCTTCATGGTCATCCTTCAGGATGATGTCTTTATAAATCCGGAAAGAGTCATTAGACTTGTCATGAACTTTTACCATGTACCATAAATTTAGATCTGGATTGCTCTATTCGGCCTAACTTATGACAATTTAGCCTTTATCTTTGAAACATTAGCAAAACTCAGCTAACTTCAGAATAGTCGTCTCTACCCACTACCACTCCTTAGCATTCCCTATCGAATGGGATAACGGCAGATACGGTGTTTGTCGACCAAACGGATTAAAGTTGGCTTATTGTGATAGTAATTCGAAACTATGGCCCAGCCGTCGGGGTCATCTAAGCTTCTTACATCATGTGAAGCTTCAGATACCCGATTCTTCCCCGTTCGCGCAGCAAGACGCTGCCTTCTTCAAGAGTATTTACGGGCCATCCTCATACGAAATCATGGCAACAGCATCGAGATGCCCACAGGGTATCAATGTTCATGAATATCTTGCTTTTCAGACGGTTGCATCTGGAAAGTCCAGGCGCTGGCTATCAATTCTTGCCGAATTGGCATCGGCCAACCTGAACTTCTCCAATGAAGCCACCATGTTACTCGTCACTCATCTGGCTCTTCAGTGCGGGCCCTTGGATGACTCTAGGAGTGAGTTTCGTATCATCCATGAGGTTTTCCGTGACACTTCATTCTGCGAGACCTTCGTGGAGCAGATATCACATCGACTAGACAGCTTGGCGGCTAACTGGAGAGAAATCTACCTGATGGAAACCGTCGTCACTTTCACCCTCCGTCTTCTCGACTTCACCTGGGCAGCATCTATGACAAAGATCTCCGACCAGACAATTTCCCTCTTGCTACGTGCCAGAAACACATGTGTGCGTTGGTTTAAGCTCCTTCGTGCTGAGTCTTACAAGGTTGTCGAAGCCGAGACAGCACGACGGTTCCAACAGTACGCTCTCTGGGCTGCTCTCTTGTGCAAACGAACATATACACCTATGGCCTGCGGTCGTCATGGTTTCGACGATTTGTCTCTTGAGATCTTCATTCAGAGCAGCATCACGGCAAATGACAACCTTGTGGTTAAGCTAGAGGCGCTTCCCCAGCTTCTCCAGCACGCAATTATTCGAGATATTCGACTTTCGTATCGACTTGCTCCGATTATATCGCAACAAATTGTTGAAAACTTGGAGGTCTTCCGACTATCCCTTTGTGACATGTGGCCGGAGGAAGAAGGGTGCCCTCGAGCTTTTTCTCAAGTAAAACTGGCCCCAGAAGCTCCCAACTGGGTTTTTTGCCAATCACGAACAGGGGACAGTGTCGACTCATTCGATCAGACTGTTTCATTTAACTGCATCAGAGGGTTACTTCTAGTTGATAGCCAACCGATGGGAAAACTGCCAGAAGACCCTAAGTACTCCGTCGTTTTGAATGAGCTCTTCGGCAACCAAGCCCTCCTAACATTCCCTTCACGCCACCGAGAGATGCAGTATGGTAGGTCAGCCTTTTGTACCTGGTTGAGTCTTACATGCTAATGGATACGCAGTTCTGTGTGTGAGACCCCGAGGATATCAAGTCCATGTGGGATACGGTAGTGAAACGCAGGAGTTGATTGTAAGAGCCTTCCGAGGGAGATACGCTCTGCAATTGATCCCTCGTGAGACCTTCCAAGGCGATTACCCCGATCTCCCAGGACCCCTTTTACACAATTGCTTTCATTGGCTGCACCTAAGAACCGGAGACATTTTCATAACTTCTAAGGACAGACCCTGGCCAGATGACCCTCACAAGTGGTACATTTTGAGCCTGAAAGACTACACATGTGCTAGAACGCGCCTGTATCGAGGTCTCTTCACAAAGGACCACATTGTCAACCCGTCAAGTCCACTCTTCAATCGCATAAGTGGAATTCTTGACTCACTTGAAGATCGCAGCCAGATAACTGTGTACCAACCCGGAGGAGATCGGAACCTTACCGTGGAGCTTCCAAGACTCAACATTGTCTTCCACACTAACAAGAACCGTCTACTTCAATCGCCTCAGCTACAATGCCAAATCGACAAGAACCAAGATGCCGGGACCTGGTACGGCCTCCGCAGCAAGCTGGTATGCACTAGCCTTACCAACCCGATGCACAGGTCTATCTTAGTGCCTCTCGGGCCCGTCTCTGCTCGCTCAGAAGGATGTCATGTAACGGTGAGGGTCGAACCCTCAGATAAATTTGGAAGGTTCAATATCAACAGCACACTGGGACGGATCGACTGCGCGCCAGAGCCCACACTGGTCTTTACCAAGGCTCTTCTTCATGCATGTACATCTTTTCTTCTCCCTGATCCTTTGACCGGCCGCACTGGAACTGAAGAAGCTATCGACTGGCTCCAAGCAGGCATATCTCAGCCATGGTCCCCCCTTACTCCACCCTCTATGATGGTACTGAACAAAATAGCTGGACTAACACCGAGAAGAGTGTACTACCCACAAGATCTTAAGGTTATGCGTACAGATACCTGGATCGAGTCCCTGCCTGTCATTCTTCAGGACTCAGCATACAGACAAATTGTGGATCGTATCCTTCGAGAGTCTGCAACTTTAGGAATGTTTGCAGCCAAAGAACAGGCTACTATAAAAATGCCGGAGCTGCCTTCTTCAGGAGATGTGCACCTACATGCACGAGTGATGTTTCGACAAGGAGCTGTTACAAGGTGTTCAGGGAATACGTCCAGCCGCACACAGCCAGTCAACCAGAAGTACATGTCTCGAGATCGCCCCTCAACAGTCAACATAATGCATCGCAATGTGCTTGAGGTCATAAACTTGATCCGGAAATGGCCCCAGAGCTTCAAGACGACGGATTGTATTGCCCAAGTTCTCTCACAGGGCAGTGCTGTTGGTGGATTCACATCGGCTTTCGACGGAACATCCCTCAATGAGAAGTTGAAGGTTAATATTATTCAACGTTGGGGGTCATTGGTCCGATTTTCCCGTGAATCAACAGATCGATACAAGCTCATGTACTTACTCGGGCCAATGTCGTTCCATCTCGACGCAAATATGCCACTTCTTCGAACCCTTGTTGCGTCCGCGGTATTTAGTGATCTTAAAGAGCTTGAATTGCCCAAGTGGGATGAGTTTGATCATTTCCAACTGAACCAGGCACCACAGCTTGATTACATCCTGCATCTGCTCAAGCCCTACAGAGTCGCTGCGCCAGAGAACGATGCGATGGGCTTGGGGCAGTATTCGAGCGGGAAACTCTTGCGCAAGTTGCAGATCGAGCAGGCGAAACACGAAGCCAAAGTTGAGGATGATTGCAAGTACTTAGCCAACCACCTCCTGAGCCAATGGCCATGTCTGGAGCCAAATGTCAGTGGCCTGTCTCGGTCTGTACTGATTGACATCGGCCCTGCGTTGGAAGTTATTCGTCCCGAGTGGAAACGCCTGTTTATGAACAGAGACCTCACTGAGCATCTCAAAGAGGTCCAGACAATTCTTGACAGACGAACCCTAGAAGACCGATACGAACCGCCTGCGGTTCCCTTATCCGAGGTGACCTACACGGTAAGAATGCGAGGTGGTGTCGAAACCGTCGACCTTCGGCAACTGCTGGCCAAACCGTATCGTATTCTTAAGGTCACGACGAGTACGAATCAAAGTCCTTCTGTGGCCTCGGCGGATCGGCCATTTCTGAATGAGAAGGACTTTTCCCCAGGATTCGGCAATTTTGCTTGGCAAAGAAACACAGGTTCAGGGGCCAGCTCGCTTTGGTCGGGTCTCGCCAGACGTGATAATGCCCCAACGGACAAGAATATGTCAGAATCGGCTGTGAGGTCACAATCCGGTATGAAGTTGAATCTCATAGCCCAACGCTTGGGAGCATCTCGGTCGGTTGTTAGGCGCCGTTACGCAGCGGACTTCCAGAAGAGCCTCGCTGCTTTTCAGCACACTCCTTTAACCAGTTATAAAGAATCGATGAAATCTAGAGAAGCTGAGATGCACTCCAGTCTGGAGAAGGTCGCAAGCAGTTTCGAGGCGATCTGTATAGCCCTAGAGTCAAGTGGAGTATGTTCACAAAGGAGGATCTTTTGGCTCAAAGAAGGAAACCTGTGGCCGATTGTGACCAAGGCTACGCTCCTTTCTTGTCTCGGATCGGCTGCTCAGGTCACAAAATTTGGAAGTGGAATGAGAAAGGCCATTTTAGAAATGGGAGTTGACATTACGAAATACCAAAGACAGGTCCGACTTCATGACCTAGCGTCAAAAAGCATCTCGGGCAGATACCACGAAGAGGAGTCTAACGTGGGACACTCGAATTGGAAGCCCGAAGAGTATCCAGATTGGCTCCTGTTAGAAATAGAGTCAAACATGATGATCCGTCCTGTTCAAATTGATGTAGCTTTGGCCACAATCTCCCCTGGGTCGGGATCGAATTCTGTGCTTCAGATGAACATGGGCCAAGGTAAGTTGTCCCTTGAAGAGATTCATATTAGCGTTTTTTAGTACTGATTAGTTTCACAGGCAAAACCTCCTGTATTATTCCTATGGCTGCGGCAGCGCTTGCCAACAAGAAACAGCTTGTGCGAGTCATTGTACCGAAAGCTCTGCTCCAACAAACAGCTCAGCTGCTGCAGGCTAGACTTGGTGGTATCCTTGGAAGGGGCATTCGCCATGTCCCCTTCTCACGTAGAACTCCAACAACCGAGAAAAAGATACGAACCTATCATTCTATCCACAGAGATATGCTCAAGTCCGGAGGTGTCATGATATGTCAACCCGAACACCAGATGTCATTTATGCTCAGCGGCCGACAGCGACTTTTGGACGAGCAGCCCGCGCAGGCAGGACCTATGATCAAGGTCCAAGAATGGCTCACAAGGGTGTCAAGAGATATCCTAGACGAGTCGGACTATACTCTCGCGGTGAGAACCCAGCTTATTTACCCATCTGGTGCTCAGACCACAGTCGATGGGCATCCACATCGTTGGCTTGTGGCTGAAGCCGTGCTGAGACTTGTTGATAATCATCTGTATGGTTTGTCAATGTCTTTTCCTCACTCTATCAGCGTTATTCGACGAAACGGGGGCGGATTTCCCTTTGTGTTCTTCCTCAGGCAGGATGTTGAGGATGAGCTGGTGCGAAGGCTCACAGCAGACATTTGTCACGGTGCTGGTGGGATTCTGCCTCTTACTGAACAGGCAATGGCAACTAAAGACAGAGTCGCCGTCAAAAACTTTCTCATGCACGCTCGACCTAGCCCTAAAAGTATAGAGCGCATCCGGAATCTCTCGCCAGACAAGCCTAGCTTGAAACAAACGATCTATCTTCTGCGAGGTCTCCTCGTCAATCGCATCTTAATGATGACCCTCAAGAAGCGCTGGAACGTTGAGTATGGTCTCCATCCGCACCGCGATCCCATAGCAGTGCCTTTCCACGCCAAAGGTGTTCCGAGCGATCAATCCGAGTGGGGTCATCCTGATGTCGCAATACTATTCACTTGTTTGGCCTTCTATTATGATAGCATAAGTCTATCTCAACTTAGGCAATCACTTGAACATATCCTCAAGTCCGACGATCCATCAACTGAATACGATAATTGGACCCAGAGCACTGAAAATTTCCCTTCTTCTCTCAAGGCCTGGAATGCAATCAACGTGGATGATGAGATGCAACTCGGGGAGATTTGGAAGGTTGTGCGATACAATGAGGTAGTCATTGATTATTTCTTGAACAATTTCGTGTTTCCGCGACATGCCAAGCAGTATGAGGTAAAACTTCAGGCCAATGGTTGGGATATTCCACTCTCACCCCTCCGGAATATAGCAGAGAACGACAAAGAGACAGGGAAACCGCTGAGTACAGGCTTCAGTGGTACCAACGACAACAGAACAATGCTTCCTTTGAACATTCAACAACAAGATCTGCCGAGTCTTCACCACACAAGCGCTGAAGTTTTGACCTATCTTCTTCACCCTCGAAATCGTCATTGCATTCTACCTCAAGATGTGAAAACTCAACACATGGGCAGAGCCACCGAGATGGATCTCCTATATTGCCTCAGGTCGAAATCCATCCGTATCTTGATCGATGCAGGAGCCCAGATCCTGGAAATGGACAACCACACTCTCGTTCAACAGTGGTTAAAGATCGACCACTTCGCTTTGGCAGGTTTGTTCTTCGACAAAGACAATAAACCTTGGATCCTGACCAAGGAAGGAAGAAGAACACCCCTTCTCGCGTCACCTTTTGCTGATGACCTTACAAACTGCCTGGTATATCTTGATGAGGCCCATACCCGCGGGACTGATTTTAGGCTCCCTCCCACAGCTAAGGGTGCCCTCACTCTTCGTCTGGGCCAGACCAAGGACCACACTGTTCAAGGTAAGTTAGCTATTATGTGCTATACTAAGCTTCTCGAAATGTTTCGCTAATAACTCCTAGCCGCTATGCGTTTACGACAGCTGGGAACAACTCAGATCGTTTCTTTCTTTGTCCCTCCTGAAGTCCACCAGAGCATCACAGACCTGCAAAACAAGACTATTCATGAGCCTATTGACTCGGCCGATGTCATTGAATGGCTTTTGAACAACACATGCGACCAAATTGAGCAGTTACAGCCCCTATACTATTCCCAAGGCATGGATTATTGCCGTCGAATGCAGGCAGCTTTCGATCACCCCGATTTTCTAACCGACAAGCCTCAGCGGAAAGCATATGTTCAGGCGATTAAGCAGGACGAACAGCAGAGCCTGCAGAACCTTTACGAGCCGAAAACAAAGAGTCGCGCCGTAGGCATGCAGACTTCTAACAACACGGTTCTTAATGGCTTTATCCAGGATCTCAATGCGAGACGCAAGACCTTTCAGGACACTGGCCGAGCCGTTCATGCCTCTGCTCTACAAGAAGTTGAGCAAGAGAGAGAGGTGGCCTTTGAGGTTGAATCAGTGCGACAAGTCAAGAAGCCTCAGCATTTTGCAGCCTTCTCTTTCCCAGGTCTTAACGCTAGCCTCGAGACTTTAATCAGAACTGGAAGGCTTCCTGCAGACACGAACTACTTTACTCACGTCTTCCATGCCCTGTCAAAGACAGGAATCGGTCGCAAGTACAAAGTGCAATCGAAGGTAACCAAATCGAAATTACTCGAGACGGCCGAGTTTGGCCGAACCATCAAGCCCAAGGGAGACCTCTCTACCGATGACTTCTTGGTATGTGTTTTACTCACTTATTCTTTCACAATTATAGGGCTAACATAGCCTCAGCGTCCCGTTAACTGGATCATTTGGAGCTCTGTCGCCGAGATCGCCGTCGTTATCATGCCCGAAGAAGCCGAAGCTCTGATTCCCATCATGCGAAACTCAAGTGTTCTCACGCATCTTTTTGTTTACTCTGCACCCATCACACGCAAAATGCTCCAGTTCCACGATTTGACGTTCCATAGCATTCCTCCTCTTCCCAATGACTGGAAAGCTCCAAAGTGGCTTCAGGTTGAGTTGGGAATTTACGCTGGGCGCTTGTACTTTGAGTGGGACGAATATGATGCCATGTGCTCCTTGCTAGGAATCCAGAATGGCGAGATCGGCAACGAAGCACAGGACAAAGAACCTACTGGAACCGAGACAGATGCCGAAGAAGAGACATCTAAGATACAACCTGACCTCGAACAAAAGCTCGCCAAAAGCCCACTGGCATTTCTACAAGAGTGGCTAGCAGTCCGTCGCCGTGGCCAGGATTTCGCTCACAGCCCCATGGGCTTTGTCAGTCAGGGCAAGCGTCTCCAAGAGGACCATGTCTTCTTCAAGGCAGCAGACACAGAGAGTGCGCGTTCTCAAGGGACTGCACTGGCACCAATTAGATTTTCCAGTTCAGCTGAAAATGATGGGCAGGATGATGATGGCTACTACGGCGTCGACGATATGGGTGCCAACGAGGCTGGGGATAGTGACTCCAGCGACGACGATAAAATCGAGTACGACGAGTCCGAGTACGCCAGCGCATCATCTAGAAATTGAGACTCGTTTTGGAAGACGTGAATACCTTTTGAGAATGGTTCAAGTTATGAGGATATAGATGGCTTGGTATGAGGTCTTGGCCATGTCTACAATGACATATGTATGGTTTAGTGTAATATATGTGTAAGTTTATGACAGGATTAGTGATAGTTTTCTCAAAATGGCACGTATCTCTGTATAAAATGTCCCTTGCTGATGAGAACTCATTATGAAAGTGTCAAGATCTTGTGGCTTTTAAACCATGTTTTTATATTTTGTAATATTGTTGTCACAGCATACCCTCAAGGCCATTCTTTACAAGATGTAGTACATCATTACTAAGTTAAGTAACAAACACCATCATAAAGAATGACAAGAAACCTTCCACTTGGACTTCTGTCCCGTGCCTTGTCTCACGAACACATATCATCAAGAGATTTTCACCAGTCGAAACAAAGCTAGTCAATGTCGCTTCACAGGCACACATTGGGATGAAGGGAATTAATACATCTTTATCTCAATTACTTGGGCAAACAAGGGTTATCCGATCATATCTGACATGATGCTTTCCCATCCATCTAACTGCCTCTCAATTAAACCCATGTCCCAGCATCATCCATTACACCTCCCGTCCAAGAAAATTCGTTTCAAATTGTGACAATAATACAGAGCAAATCGCTCGACATGAATGCGCCATCTGTCAATACAAATAGAGTTCGTTGCATCGTGACATTCGTCAGTTGGCAGATTCCTAAACCAGACTGTCTTCCAGACGCTTGAGCTCATGAGGTGTCCACTGGTAGACACCTTGTCGAAGAGCAGATAGAACGGTCTCTCGCTTGACAAGCTGAGATGGGACGTTGGTACGGCAAGAGGCAGCGATACAGCTGTTGTCAGTCCAGCCGACACGGAAGTCATCTCCCCACCAGACACGAAGATTTTGAGAAACGCGCACGGTGATCAGAACCGATGAGAGGTCTGTGTAGCCATCCAGGTCAACGTGGGTCAGCTCGTAGCCGCCCTCGGAAAATGTTGGACAAGCCGGTACTTGCTTGGTTTCCGACCAAGCGATGGACTCTTCGGTAGACGAAGTCTCATTCCAGCGGTAAGCTGAGATCTCAAACTCACACCACTTCTCGTCTCCATGGGCATCGCATCCAAGGCTGGCTCCAAAGAGGTCGAATCGGAAGCAAGGACTGGCGGCGTGGGGCCCTACGCCAATCTGGGCGACGTCTCCTGAGATCGTAGATGTTGTGTTGGAGAGTGCCGGAGGAACAAATTCCACTAGCTGGCCACCAGAAGTAGGGATATATGGTTGAGATTGCCGAGAGGAAGGGGGTGCGATAAGGAAACCTCCCGAAAACCAGATGTTTTCAACAGGGTTGAAGAGAGGCCCGGGTTTAGAGTTATCGAACTGAGGGAGATTAGCAAAGAACCCTGCGCGAACAAATGACAACTTACATCAATGGTAGTATTTCCAATGCTTCCTCCTGTTGCACAGATGGAAGGAGAGCTGGCCTTGGAAGTTGTTTCTGTGGCTGTGGGAGAAGTCACACTGGAGTCAGAGGCGGTGGAGTTAGACCAAGACATGCCTTGACGACGAAAAACCCTCTTTCGGGGAACGGTGACGGTGACAAGAGTGGTGAGAGGGTAGTCAATTGTGTAAGAAGTAGTCTCATCCTTGATGACATTGGTCCAGGTAGTGGTCTGTAGAGTGGCAGTACCTGCAGAAAGAGGCCAGAGTGTGTTCTCGCTTGCAACAGGCCCATACGCAGTCTGGGGAAGTTGATCAGAAGAACCGTCACCTGATGGGTTACTGGTGAAGGGAGGCTGCTCTGCACCATCTGAAAATACGGGACCATTTGAAGTGTCAACAACAGAAGTAACAGTCCAAGTGAAAGTTCCAGTGGTTGTGCCTGAAGCAGAAGTACCTTGCGCATCGGCGCTAGCATCGGTGAGTATAACCGACATGGACTCATCAGGAATTCCATCGTTGTAGCCGTTGAGAGTTGGGAGGTTCGTGGAAAGAGGGTCCAGGTCTCCTGTAGTGAGGACAGGTCCTGAGTCAGATGGGGGTGTAATGCCAGAAGAAGTTCCTTGGGGAACATCAGCAGAAACACCGAGCGCAGAAGAATCACTGAAAACAATGGTCTGCTCAGTTGGTGTCGGCTTTCCATCAGGGCCAAGTACGACAGCAGTTGTGATCGTGGTGAATGCTTCAGGAGAACCAAGTGATGAATCAGCTTGATCATCATTAAGGCTTGTTTCAACAGGAGTTGCAGTACCAGTGGGAAGGACAAATGTCGAATCAACAACCGTTGGAAGACCATCTGATCCAATGACTGTGTAGGTGATGCAGGTGGTGAGGCCAGACACGTCATCATCATTCCCGTCGGAGGGGAGACTTGGGGAGGAGGCCGTCACTGGACCAGGATTCCCAGTGGGTAGGCCAGATGTAGGTGAATCGGAGACAAACGAAGGATTTCCAGGCGATTCAGATTGAGTGTTGGCAGATCCAGGGATAACCCAGGTCGAATCGACAATGGTTGGGAGACCATCGGGTCCAATGATGGTGTGGCTGGTACAAGTGGTAATGCCTTCTCTTCCAATGCCATCTGATCTAGAGGCATCAGACGGGCCAGAAGAAGGTTTTTCAGGATCTCCAGTGGTTTGCATGGCTGTGGCTGATGTGGCGCCATCGGGTAGAGATTCCGAAGCCCACGATGGGCCTTCAGTGCCAATACTAATACTAGGGTCGGTGTTTGTCGGTCCAGGAATGACCAATGTGGTGCCCACAACGGTAGGAAGACCATCGGTGCCAATGATAGTGTAACTTGTGGAAGTGGTGATAGGGAAAGCGCCGTCCAAGTTGGTTAAAGTAGAAATGGATCCTGGAATACCATCGGGGCTGAAGGTTGACAGGCCAGAAATTGTCAAGAAGCCTCCGAAAGAGTCTGAGTCAGGAGCGCCGGATGAATCTCCAGAGTCAGATGCAGTTACAGGAACAGCCCAAGTGGAGTGGACCACAGTGGGAAGCCCATCTGTGCCAATAATGGTGTAGCTTGTGCATGTTGATGAGCCAGAGCTTCCAGACCCATCCTGAGGTATGCCGGGTGCAGAAATTGGACCAGTGGGGAAGCTACCAACATCAATTGGTATACCAGAAAGTGAGGCCTGGGGAACGCCAGTGACGGGAAGTTGTGAGGAATCCTTAAAGGAAGGTGTGCTGGAAGGTACAACCCACGTTGAGTCAACAACTGTAGGAAGGCCGTCAGTTCCAGTGATGGTGAATGTTGCACAGGTAGTGATGCCCCCTTCAGGTCCACTGCCAGGAAGAGATCCAGCTTGAGAGTTGAAAGGGCCCTGTGAGCCAGGGATACCAGCGGATACGGCAGGAGGAAATGGAAATCCTGAAGGAACTCCGCCTGGAAGGCCCGGGTTGTTGCCATTCTGGGTAGAACCTGAGGTAGCTGAAGGCTGTCCTTGGCCGGGTCCAACATTGCTTCCACTGCTGACAATAGTGGGTAGTCCGTCTTGGCCAGTGACAGTGATGAAAGAGGGAACAGGTTGGCCAGCATCATTTCCACCTGGGACGTTGGTGAACCATGGGGAGTTCTCGCCTTGACCTTGAGGGCCAGCTTGAGTGGTAACGGGGAGGCTGTCGCTTGCTTCTTGGACAGGCCCAGCGGAAGGGAACTGGGGCTGACTGCCTGGTACACCACCATTGCTTGAGGAGCCATGTACTGGGAAAGGGGTGGGGGCAGCTGTGTTGACACCAGAAGCTCCATGGAAACTCACAGAAGAGTCATCAGCAGAAGCACCATCAGAATATCCAGGAGCACCGTTAGAACCAGGAGTCTGGGAAAAGGATGGGGAATCTGGGTTGTTCTGGGAGCCATTCTCACCATCTGACCCAGAACTGTTGCCAACACCCGAGTCAGATCCAGAATTGGAGCCGGAGTTTGAGCTGTCAGAATCGTCACTGGGATCGTTGGCACCACCGACGCTGTTGCCATCGCCTGTGCTGTTGCCATCTTCGGGGTCGCTACTATCACCAGAACCTGTGCCATCGTCTGACCCTGTACCAGAGCTTGAAGGGCTACCATCAGGACCCCAAATGTCGAGTGTCAACGTCGTGAAAGGGGGGACAGAAGATGCCGGCATCAGAGAAGTGAAATCTGCAGGTTTAGTGGGGAGGGGTGATGGGAACTCGGAGCCATCAGAATCCGAATCGTCAGGCCAAGGGAAGTCTTGTTCGTCCTGAGTGTCTGTGGGGTAGACAGTGACAACAACAGTCTTTGTGGAGCGGAGAGAACAGGTGGGGAGGTCAGAGGCACCAGCGTTGGGAGAGCCAGGGATGTTCTGAGGTGCATTGGTAGGGAAGCTGCCAGGGACGATAACAGAACCAGCACCAGGGATATTGGGAGAAGAGTTACCAGGAAGGTTTCCTGGAACACCACCAGGAACACCACCAGGGACGCCGCCAGGGACACCACCAGGGCCATTAGGAGGGAGACCGTTAGAGCCACCGTCGGCAGAGCCGGGGCCGACGCTGCTGGGCAAGGAGCCAGGAACGGTTCCGGCAGCGTTGCTTGGGTAGGAAGGGTTACCAGACCCGTCGGTGTTGCCAGGAATGGTGTTGCCAGAACCACCAGGCGAGCTACCAACTGGGCTTCCGTTGGGGTTTCTGTCATCCAAGGTTAGTCAGGGACAAAGATTAGCGACACATTGCAACTTACCCATAGTCAGTTGCCTGAGCGGCAGTATGACCCAAGAGACCGGTGGCCACGAGGACCCCGAGAGACGTGGCGATACGCATCTTGAGTGATCAACTTCGACGTAAAGAAAGTCGAGCGGTTGAGAAGCGTGTATGCAGAGAAGAGAAGATGTGGGATGATGTGCTGTTGGTGGGCAAGTGTAAAATGCTTTGCCAGAAAAGTTGAGAAGAGAGCTTGAAGATGAATGCAACGGAAACGAGAGGACTGAGAAGATGATTCTTCTCGAGATGGAGGAGGGTTGAGGGTGAAGAGAAAAGAAGATGAGGTGAGATGAGGAAGAGAAGAAGAATTTTTGGGAGCGAGGTCGAGAGGAGAAGGATATATGCGGTGGGTGCACGGCGGAGGGGGACGAGGGCAGGAGTTCCTTCCTTCTGGAGCTGCAGAATGTTGGGGATGACGCATTGAGGAATTGCGCGAGCCAGAAGGGGAGGAAGTCACGACGAGAGTGGGAAGGAGCGCGGGCACTGCGCGAGGCAGTTGCCAGCCGGCATCTGGCCCCCTACTGGACAAGATCAACTTAGGTAAGATAGGCGCATCGATCAACATGAGAATGGGGTCTGACTTGGTATTTTGATGCGGTAATTCAATTGAATGTTTAGCAGTTAGTATCTATTACCATTGTCGTATGCCTATCTCTTCAAGGTCCAAAAAGTGCGATGTGATGCATGGGTGGTAACCTGAACTTCGAACACATGGAACTCAGTCGAGGTAAACACATGGGCTTGTGAACGAGTCGAAATTCAGCAGCCAGTGCTCCTTCCTATTCCCCAGCTACTAAAACGCCACGCAAGATGGGACGATTTGTCGCGAGGCAAGCACCCAGCAGGCATGCAAGGTTTGCTGCCTCAGTCATCCTGGATCTCAGCAGGCCTTCCCTTTTGGAGATACTGCTGCTAGTGAAGGTAAATAGCCTACCTTAGGTATGGTCAGAGGAAAGGGGCTCATGCATTTTGAAGAGTTAGACCAGCAGAGAATGTGAGTGCACTGGCACGAGATTTGAGTCGAGTTTTCGAACCCAACGGCTACTCAGTGAAATATTCCATCAAGATAACATTAAACTCGTATTATGATAATTCATTATCCTTGGCTCATACTACATCATCAGAATAATCAGTGTAAGGGGGAGGTGCATCAGGGTGAGGGTCCTCGTGAGCATCATCTTGGTACGTCTGGCCGTTCTCAGCAGTATTCTCAGCAGGGCTCCTACTCTCTTCCTCAATTCGGGCCGTCCACTGGGCTGCACCAGCTGTAGTTGTCAGGAGAAAGAAGAGCGACAAGACAGGGATGAGTTCAAGAATCATGGCAACTGTGCCGAACCAAACATACTCCCAGGCACGATCTCTCAATGCCTTCTTCTGCTCAGCTTTTGAGAAACCCTTGATCTGAAACCAGCGGTAATGGGCGAGCTTGCCGAGTCGGGTTCCAGTGATGATGATGAAGGCAGGCGTGCCAACAACTGGAACGAGGTTGAGCGGCAGGAAGACGATGAGCTCAACAATCTGGATGATACTCCATGGAGTGTAGATGGCAGCGGTAGTGGGCTTTCCGAGCATTCTGACCGGGTTCGGTGCGTCCAAGAACAAGATTCGCTGTGGTGCGACAAGATCCTTTTGTCCAAGCTTGATGAGGGCCGCCTGCGATTGTCAGTCACTGAACTACAAGCAGAAACCGTTTCTCAGTCCAATTACTTACATCAAATACATCCACTCGACATTCGTCAACGAAGAAGCCCTCGAACAGACCCTGGATGATGACCAATCCTTCTCCTAGTACCAGTACCACAGCATTGACCCACGCGCCCCAGCCATGGAAGATCGCTAAGAATGCGTACTGGGGCAGGAAGGCAAACGTGAAGAGAAGAAGGTACACCAAGAACGAGATTAAAGATATCGGCAGAATCCTTCCCACTAGGAGTGGCCAGAACTCGCGGTTTTGAATGAAGAACCAGATGCCACGTAAAGGATACGACGCGGCAAGGCCGGCCCTCTTGAGGTACAGCCACGGCCGATGGATTGGGCCTGTCCAAGGTCCTACATGAGGATAGTTTGGGTTCTGATACGAGCCGTTGGGGGGCATTTCGACGATTGATATGCAGTGATGGAGGTTCTTGAAGGCATCACCAAGAGGAGCGTACAGTTACATGTGGTGTTGCAGGCAACAATAACAGCGATTGTGACGTCAAACTGCGGAAAATCTGGCTGAAGAGTGGGGCCGCGCAGTGCTCACTCTACTTCGACTGGTTCAACGACGTTTCAGAACCTTCGGAAATCCCAGCAATGAACTTTCCAGCACAACTTTACGGAAACCTGCAAAAAAGAAAGCCTCGCAAACGCTCGCAATCGAAATATAGGAACAGCCCGATGCGGGGGTCGAACCCGCAACCTTGAGATCGCGTACTCGTAAGAGTCTCACGCTCTACCGATTGAGCTAACCGGGCGTGGCTCTTATTGGTTGGGAGCGGTGGCCTCAGTTTGCGTACTGGAATTTGATGCTGTCGGAGCTGGAGAGATTCAGTCGCCGTTCGGGGGTTTCATGAGGGAGATGTGAGGGATCAAAGATGATCTTGATGCTATTCTAACCGTTTTCATGATAGCCTTGAGACTCGAGCGGGGTAACAGATGTACGCCCTTGAGGCTGACAAGTGTGACAGATTGTGTTGATTCCTGCTGTTTGGGAAAGCTCATCTCCCTAACGATGCGTTGAATGTCCTTTCGACCATCACCATCTCCTAACTTACATGATTCTGGAAGCTAAGGTGAGACACACGCCGGCGATGAGTGATGTTTCCTGCTGATACATCGATAGGCATAATGAATCCCAAGATCGAATGCCAGTGCGGCGCAGTCCAAATCACAGCTTCACGACCCCAACCCCTCGGTGTCTACTGCTGCCACTGTACTGAATGTCAGAAACAATCTGCTTCTGCCTTTGGCACATCAGCCATCTTCCCAGCTGATGGCATGTGGCCCCTTTCTGAAGATGTCCTATCCAAGCTCGGTGTCTGGAAGCGACCTACAGACGAGGGAAATACCCTGGAGTGCTACTTTTGTAAGACGTGCGGCGTGAGGGTCTTACATCGCAGCGTCTTGCCGGACGGCCAAGGAAAGCCGTATCTGTCGGTGAAAGGTGGATGTGTTGAGGGGTTGAGCTGGGATAATGCGAAGCATATTTACACTCGGAGTGCTCGTGTTCCTGTGCCTGAAGGAAGTGCTCATACGGTACCTGAAGGACAGGACTGATTCTCGAGCGTTGGAAACAATCAAGCTTCACCACAGGCGTGAGAAGGGTCGATTTGGGTCTTGTACTTGTAAGGCCAGAATAATGTTTTGACGGAGTATGTAGAAATGATTACAATTATGATAATCTCGCGTATCTAATACGACGACGTTACAACGCTGGTGGGTGGAGTCATCGGGAATCCGGCCCCTGTCGGAGGTGACAAAACACCATAAAGCCGATACCGTGGGCCATCTCCGACCGAATTTGAGCATCACCGCGCCGGGCTCCACAGCAGCTCAATTTGACCCTGTACTTTTTCTCTGAAGCGAGCTACTACCAGAGTTTCGGTATCAACTCAGCCTCAATTATAATGTCAATAGTCATGGGTACAGGCAAGAGAATGACAAATGCCACTCCAAAGCATACAAATAAAATGCATATATAAGTCCTCGACGCCCTTCTCCTTGAACCATGAACTCATCATCGTCATCGTTGTTAAAAGCCTTGATATCAGGCTCATCCTAGAAAATGGCTGTCCGATCCCAACTTTTCCCTCCCTCTCCTACCTTCACAGAATCTTCCCTTCCCTCGTTGGGCTCCAGAGTGTACATCATCACTGGCGCAACATCTGGAGTTGGTCTGGAGTTGGCCAAAATCCTCTATTCCCGCTCAGCGATTGTTTACATAGCTGCGCGCAACTACTCCAAGATCGCGTCGGCTATAAAAGAGGTGCAGTCGGCGTTTCCTGATTCGACAGGACGTCTTGAGTCGCTATGTGTTGATCTTTCCGATCTCGCAAGTATCAAGCCTGCAGCTCAGCGATTTCTTGCCAAAGAACCAAGACTCGATGGCCTTGTGCTCAATGCTGGTGTTATGATGCCTCCTGAGGGTAGCAAGACCGAGCATGGGCATGAGTTGCAGATGGGAACGAACTGTTTGGGCGGATATCTACTGTCGCGACTTCTTGAAGAGCTTCTGATAAAGACCACGGTTGTCGCAGACGAGGGAACCGTTCGAGTTGTATGGCTTGCAAGTACTCTTCAGATGGGCACGCCCAAGGGAGGCCTTGTCTGGGACGATGTCAAGAAGGAACCGAAAGTAGTCAAGGACCAAATGGAGAACTACATGATGAGCAAGGCCGGCAATCTTCTCTTAGCCCACGAGACTTCTCAGAGATTGGGATCGCAAGGAATTATATCAGTGGTGAGTTCGCCCCCGTGGGAGTGACAGTGTGATGCTAACGAACGTAGGCTGTCAACCCGGGGTTCTTGAAGACGGAGCTTCAGCGCCATATGCCGGGACCTGTATCTTTCATGATGGTAAGTGTTCATACTACGTCTTGAGCAAATATGCTGACGGTATGTAGGGACTCATGTTTAAAGCGCCCAAATTTGGAGCTTATAGTGAGCTGTTCGGACTGCTATCACCAGATATCACCGCCGATAATAACGGAGCCTTGATCTACCCATGGGGTCGCATCGGATGCATCCCAGATGACATCAAGGTGTCTTTGAAGAACGGACAAGAGGGAGGCACTGGCCTCGCAAAAGCTTTCGCTGACTGGTGCGAGAGAGAAACCCATCAGTACAAGTAGTTGGTAGGCCAGCAAGAAGTATTTGGTTTGGTAGAGTGATTTCCATTTAGATCTAAATAGTTTCGCACGGGTATCATGTCATAATTTATCCCCAACGCCGTTGTACAGAAAGAAATCATAGTGCACTAGTTTTTGTCCTTTTTCTCCCCCGTCCTCCGTTGCTTGCGACTGACCTGGTTTAGTCGTATATCGACCACCACTGGCCGATGGTCCGAAATAAAAACCCCATCTTCATATCGCGAATTAAGCACCGCAAAGGCTTTGAATTCGATACCGGTCGGGTCGTGCACGAATATGTGATCGAGATACATGTCGTCCCATGGAACCGTAGTAAATCCAGTATAAGTATACGATGAATGTCCATAGCGCTTCCCCTGCGGGACAAGACTCTTCACGTCGTTCATGGTTTTGGCGAGGTGCTTGTAAGCCGCACCGCTGGGGGAGGAGTTGAGATCGCCGCCGATAAAGACAGGTATGGTCTCGCCGTCGAGTATAGACCAAGTCTCAGCAAGGTCAGTGAGTTGTTTTGCCGAGTTAGCACGGGCTTTTTTCCCCTTGTGGTCGAAATGTGTACACATGTAGACCATGCGATTACCCGTAGCGGCATGTTGAAAGCGCGCGATAGTGACAATCCTTGGGAACGCGGCATCCCATCCCCTGGAACCGACTTTCTCAGGTGTGCTGCTCAACCAGTATGTTTTCTTTTCCTCAATATTCCAGACAGAAGGACGGTAGAAAATTGGGGAGAATTCATCACTTTGGCCGCCCCTGCGTCCGATACCATAGTAGTCCCACTCGCTTCCCAGATCTTGTTGGATGTCTTGGATTTGCGGATACAATGCTTCTTGCATGCACACAATGGATTCGGGTCTTCCAGAGGTCTCGTAGTTGATCTGGGCTGTTAAGCGTGGACGACGAACGGGCCATAATTCTTCACCCCATTGGGGCTTGTTTGGTGCGAGACGAATGTTGTAAGTGATAAGTCGAACATCAGTGCTTCGAGATAGAGGCGCTGCAGCCACGAATGCAGCGGAAAGTATAAGAGATGTAAACTTCATTTCAGTTTATTGTGATTGTTTGTGGATGATAAGGATAAAAACCATAGGAGGGCTTTTGATCCCCAGTTGCTTTATGATCGGTTTGCTTTTTGGTATGCTTTTGTGGATGCAGGTGACGCAGCTTTGCAGTCGATGTTGTCACTGACAAGTTTCAGCGGTAAGAACCAACACACTGCAACATTTGAAACTGATGCAGATTCTAGTTTCAACATGTTGAATTGGGCCATCGGGGTCGTGGGACCTCTTGTAGGATACCGGCGGGAGGTTCGGGTTCACCCACGAAGAATTCTATGACGATCACTAAGAACGAGCAGCCAGTGAAATCGATAGTGTCTGTAGCCGCTCGCAGCGTCGTACGCAATGGGCATCCGTGGCCCCATGTAAGTGGCGTGCATCCGTCAGGTCCAAGATAAGCTTGGTTGGTTGTTATGCTGATGTCTTGGTATTGGCTGAATCACTAGCGTTGGGTTGCATCTCCCACAACCCGACTAGCACTATCTATCCGATCGACCCTTGTATAATTCTTGCACGGGGCATTTTATTAGGCTCTTGTTTGACGTTGTGTTCGCTGTAAACTACTGACTTATATGTGCTGCGACTCTAGCATTTGCGCTATCACACCGTCTCCTCTCAAGAGTTCCTCGTGGTGTGGTCATGCATGATTCTGTTGGTCCAGTCAACGCTAACAGATAACACACATGGGCCTCGTCAGTGTTGTCTCATGGGCTCACAAATCATTGATAACCCTTGAGCAACAGGAGAATTCTCTTGTTCAGTGCAAACAGCTAACATCGGTATAAATCAGTCCCTGGTAATGAAGCTAACCCAGAAACTCAGCGGTCCAATCGCAACTCATCCTTCACTTCTCATCCAAGTTTGTCCGCAGCTATAAACACAATAAAGTTCACGCTACAAAGAGGGGAACCGAATATGAGTGTAGTGTCAAGCTCGCCCTGGTCCTTGAATGATTATGATGACTGGTACAACAAGAGTTATTCCAATCGCAAATCGATGATTCTTTCGAATTTGCGCCAAGAGACGGGTCGGGAACAAATACCGCAGGACGTGGCAGTTGAGTTTGGCTGGGGATATGTCACAACCACGGCAAGATAATGTAAACTATGGGTATTGATGGCCATGTTAGACTCGGCTATGAGGCTTCTCCAGGCAATGATATGTGGCCATTAGACTTTAGAAACGTCAACAGCGAGGCCAAAGCTTAAAGCAATCAACAGCTCGAATAAGCGCGAGGTCTCCTGAACTCACGGTCAGATCATTAAATCGGACGGAGTTAAGACTTTCATGCAGTCAGCACTTTCTTACCTTACCTCAGGCGGCGATCCTTCGTAATGGGTATTGCACGTTGTTGGGCAAGCGAACGCCCACTTACCGATGTCAGGCCTGCGCTCTCAATCCTGCTGGGTGTATATAGACATGAGCACCAACGAGAGGTTCAGTTTTCTCAAGAAAACAAAAGCCACTGTACTGAACATTCTCATAAGCTTAAAAAGCCCCGTAAGGCGGCTTAAACTTTACCTGCGCCTTTGACCCCTGCTTCTAGGACGCCATTTGTGATGAGACATAGAAGCATTCGAGAGCAGGAACCAGGCTTCACAATAATAAAGCTTTGACACACGATCGCAGGAACAGAGTATTGAATCGTATCTTCGTTGATCCTTCGCGACGATGCAAGGTTCGGTTTTCTATGAGAGGAGTGAACTAGTCTTCAACATATTCATAACCCAACTTCAGGTCAGACTCAACCAGCCTCGCGAAACACTCATGCCGCAAGAGCTCTTGTAAAGGCCCGACTCTCACCACCTTCAACAACCTTAGCCACAGGCGTAAGATATGCATCTTCATGTCCACTCTCGGTCTGCAGGTACCGCACATATGCCTGCGCAACCTTGAACCAGTTCTTCTTCTCAGCAGCGCTCGATCCGCTTCCCTGCCAAACCCAGATAGCTCTCCCACCATCATCAAGCAAAAAGACATCGTCGCTCTCCAGGTCATCATGCAATATCCGTTCAGCTTCCTTGACAAGACCAAAAGAGAGCTGTCCTGATGCGTCGCTGAGTCTGAACAGCTTCTTGGACGCTTTTTCTGCAGTACGGGGAGTGAAGGGTTTCTTGCAGTGGAAGCCTTCGCGGGGTGTTTCGTCATCGCCGCCGAGAAGATCGACAATTCGCCGTGAGCGGGATTCAGTCTGTGCAATAACTTCGACTTCTGAGTGTTTTGCGACAGTCATGTCATGGACGATCTGAGCTGCCTTTGCCTTTTCCATTGGACTGCAATCCTTGCCCTGCCACACCCAGATCTTGTCGCCAACATCCAGCACAAAGACATCTGTGTCATCTAGGCTTGTCCAGGTGGGCTTGATTTCGTGAACAACAACCCCATTGGCGCCAGCGGCTGGGTTCTTAAACACACGCAGCAAGGTGAGCGTCTGCTTTGGTTCCTCCTCTTCTTCCACGTGTCTAAATCCAGACTCAACTCCGCCAGACCGGATAGAAATACGTGGGAACAGTGCTAGAAAGTCGTCCGAAGGTGCTTCTTGAATCTCTCGGTGCTGGGTTGCCGAGCCTTTGAGGAACTCGTCCAATTCGACAGCCTTGTACGCCGCGGTACCTGCTTCATCCTGTGACGTATGCTTTCCCAGCCAAAAGAAGATGTCGTGAATGAGTTTCTCGGTGCCATCATTGCTGCCAATCAGCTCCGAGAATAGTACGATAAAGCTATCGCCATCATAGAACTGACCGTACTTTTCCTTGGGCCAAGGAATGACTTCGAATTGCTCAATGCGCCAGACAAATAGCCCAGGCTCGACGCCAACTTTGCCATCATTCCAAGCTGGCTCCGTAAGCGCTGAATTGTACTTGACTTGATGGTCAATATCGGACCCGATCAGCTCCACGTTGCTATCCTTGATATCGTATTCCTTTGGATGAACGAGGCCTTGATTTGGTGCCATATTTGTTTCGACTTTAGGGTGAATGGGGTACAATACGGTGTAATAATATTGTAATGATAGGTTTTGTCAACAATGTTTTGAAGCGTTTGGAATTCTGAAACAAGCAAAGTCCCTCCCTTGATTGAGATATCCTCTTTATGTGAGATTGCTCCATGCGGGGAGAGCATGTGTCCTGATTGGAGCTCACTTGGCATTTGATGACTGATCAATGAGGCGCTGAATGCGACCTGACGATCTTTTATTATTAGGACATGAAGCAGATACAGGTTTGACAAGCTTGAGTCACAAGTCAAATTTGCCGGATCCTTGTGAATCACATAGACGAATCCACATTCATTAACAGAACGAATAACCAAATAAGTTAAGGACATCGTGATGCCCTGATCGCTCGTATACTTTTGATCTACCAAGTTTATCGAAGATTGTTCACTACACTTCCCACCATTACAGCGACCTCTCGGTCCCAATTCACTTCCGTCTTCGTTCTAGCCTTGGATCCTGTCAATGCGCTGTGTAACTGGGATCCCTTGACGACAGCCTGACGGATTGCGTCTCCAACCGTGTTCTTATTCGTTCGTAGGGTTCTAGCTACGACACCTCCACGATTCATGATATCCTGCACACGTGTAGCAAGACTGCTGGCCATGGTCCTCCAGAAGAATGAGGCAAGGCTTCCTGTCTCAAGGTGTGCGAGAAGGAACTGAAGCAAGCTTGATTGGGTCGGTTGGTTTGAGGTGGGGAGAAGAGGGTGGGCTGGTGGCTTCGTAGTCTCGAGGACAGCCTCAAGGGAGACTACGTTTTGACACTTGGCCATAACATCAGCCAAGGCCTTGTCCAGCGTTGGTAGTTGGCCCAGAGAACGGGCTAATGCCGTAATGCTTGCTTGTAGCGCCGATCGTATATAGGTTTCTAAAGACTGAAGCAGCAGCCTTGGAACCCATTTATCTGGCTTGGAACCGGTGGTTGGTGAC